TGAGAAGTACACTGCTGAGGGGAGCAGCAGGCAAGTCAGGAGAGTTCTGCCACGCCATGTTAGTCACCTCCAGGGCAGGCAGGAATCGAACTCATGCTGAAGTGGCTTTATCTGCTTAGTACTGTGCTTTAACCCACTGTGGCATCAGGAAGGACCCCTAGTTTCCAGTTTTTAAAACACAAGAGTATTGGCATTTTGATATTCCTATGAATCAACTCATTATTTTAAAATGTCATCCATTCACTGAGTAAAATTGCTGTATGTGAACATAAGTGCTTCTACTAGAATAGATTCACAGTTCATAATGGATTTTTCTGTAATGGGATGTTTGACTGTCAATTTTTTTTCCAAAAATTATTAAAATTCTTAGTAAAACAAACTTCCTTGTCTTGAGATTCAACTGACTAAATTTTAAAAGATCTTATTGACTGCATTCAAGGGTATATGAATCAGCAACATGCCAATTAGTGGATAGGAAAGAGTTCTAAGCAACTGTACAAAATGAGACTTTGATTTACAGAAGGGAGTTGGGACACGAAGTTTAGTCAAGGTGGTTCGGTTGTAGCAAGGTCATTTCCACTAAGGTGTGAGGTGAAGGGTCTGTCAGTTATTTCTAATGCTGCATAAGGATGTCTTTTTTTAAAAATCTAACTTAGGTAAAAGTGTTCACAATTTTTTAAAATGTACAGAAGAAAAATAGTACACAGTAATACTATTTTAATACTATTTAGTTCTTAGAAATAAACAATGCTTTTGAAGGGCTAATACTAAATGTGCCATTTAAATATATTTTCTTTAAATGTACTAAACCTGTGGTCATCTGTTGTTGTTTTTTCCTTCTTTTCTGTCTTGCTTCCTCATAATTAGGTTTTGCTGAGTGTAAAATGACTAAACTTTACTGAATAAAAGAATAACAGTTTTAAAATCTGTTTCTTTAACTTTTCAGGTAGGTTTTTTTTCCCCCCATCAATACCCATTTTACCTTGGCCCATTTTTCCTCCCCCTTTTTAATCTCAAAAACCTTTATCTGATGGTTTATAATTATTTTGTTTTGTCAATTCGTCCACTTTATTTCCTTTTACTACTCAATATATGAAATCTTCCAATCTTTGTCATTATCTTTCTGACTTACTTCAATTCATATAACCCTTTGGGATTTTCCCATTTTTCTATAAATTATAAGATTTCAGCTTTCCCTATAACTAAATAGTATTCCATGGGTTGTATTTACCACATCTTCTTTAGTCTTCTTTTATCAGGAAGCACTTAGGTTGCTTCCAAAAAACCAAACCTTAGTTACTGTAAATAACTCCATGATAAATATAGTGGACCATGTAATTTTGTAGGTTTAGTTTTTCACGTTCTCCTGATACTGGATCACATGGCAAAATAAACTCAAACCCCTTTGAAAATGGCTTCACCAGTTTTCATTCACACCACTGATATGTTGGGTTCCTCACATCTTCCCAAACACTTGTGATTGGAGATCTTTCTGATGTTGTGATCTTCCCACAATTGTGAAATGCTATCTTTGTGGTTTTGACTTTCATTTCCTTTAAAGCGATGATGAACATTTTTTTTTTTTTCATATATCTGTGGGCTTTTTGTATATCTTCTTTGGTTATATGCCCATCTTAGTAATGTTATAGGGAAACCCCAGTATGAATTGGATTGCTTGACTGTGAGTCCTCACCCATGTGCTTAGAGAGACTTAATCATAAAACATAACTGCAGTCACACACAAAAAGGTTAATAAAGGGCTTATTTACAAAAGAAGGGAAAATGAAGAAATGAATAGCTAAGGGAGAAAGAGATGGAGGTAAATAGTTGAATGCACCCTAACAGTTCTGCTGAGTTGGAACTCCAACAGCTGAAAGATGGTACAAACTAAGAGCCAAGAGCCATCACCAAGAACCAAGGCCCACATACCTGGTTATATACCAGACCTGGCTGTTCAACTCCACCCTCAGTTCCCAGCATCCTCCCTTCTGTGGTGATGGCATCATGGGATCTGTCGTTCCCTGTGTCTTGATCTTTTTGGTCTGGAGTGGAGGTGGCGCCCATAAAACAATCTGTATCTGTGACATTCCTTCAGGGCATCCTTTGTCTCCCAACATTGAGTGTCATAAATGTTTGCATGTAAGTGTTCATAATAACCACTTATTATCTTTTGAATTTCTGCAATGTCTGTTGTAATTTCTCCTATTTCAATTTTTATTTTAATTTAAGTTTCCTTCCTACTTTTCTTCATGAGACTAATAGAGGTTTATTTTTTCAAACAAGCATTTGGTTTCATTTAATGTTAGATTTTATTTTTAATTTGTTTCATTTATTTGTGCTCTAATTGTCATTATTTCTTTCTTTCTACTGGCTTTTTGATTTTTTTTGTTCTTTTTCTAGTCCCTTGAGGTAAGAGACAAGGTTGTTTACTAGGGCTCTGTTTCTTGCTGTCATCTTAACTAACAGAATTTTGGACATTGTGATCATTTTGGTCATGCATAAATTTCATGGGTGAATTCAAGTAATTTACATTTAAGGCGATTATTGAAATAATATGTATTTATTCCCATTTGTAAAATGGTGCCTATGGTTTGCATTTGTCTTTTTATTTTTTGATTTATATTGGTTTAGATTTTATTTCCACTTTTTATGTGTTACATTTGTAGGTTCTTATTTGGAGATGATCATGAGATTTGTATGTGGTGGTCTATACTTGTGGCCTACTGAGCACTCTGATTGCAAGCTTGTTCTAATACAGTTATATTAGAACTCATTAATATATAGATATATATTATGTACATATGATATATAAATATCCCTCCTTTAGTCTTGAATCATAGTTCTGTCCAGATAAAGTATTCTAGGTTGAAAGTCCTTTTCTTTGAGACCTTTAAATATTTCCTGTAATTCCTGTCTTGCCTGCAAGATTTCTTCTGAGGTTTGCAGATAGGTGTTCCCATGTATGTATGTAACTCTTTTTTCTATGGATGCTTTTAGTATCCTTTCTTTGCCTCATGTTTTTGTCAATTTAATTATAATATGTCTTGGCGTGTATGTTTGGAATTATTTTCTTAGGGACTCATTGGGCCTCATGGATCAGGGTATTTTTCTTTTCCCAGACTAGAGAGATTCTCAGCTAATATTTCATTAAATAAACTTCAGATGCTTTTCTCATCCCTTCCTAAGATCTCCATGATACAGCTGTTGTTTTGCTTTAAATTATCTCAAAGAGCTTTGATGCTATTTTCATTCTTTTTGATTCTGTTTTCTCTTTGCTGGTCTATTTATGTGTTTTCCAAGCTTACTGATTCTATCAGCTACTTATGTTTGCCTACTATCATATTTTTTTAATTCAGTTTAGCTTTTTAAAGTCCTGAAATGTAAATTTGAAGTATTTTCACATTTTCTCTATCTTTGTTATATTCTTGCTTCCTCATCCATTGTCTTTCTTACTTCAACAACTGTTACCTTAAAGTCTTCATTAGGCAAGTTACAAAGTTCTGCTGATTCTCTTAGAATTTTCTATTGTTCTATCACTCTCTCTGTCGCCTCGTTTTTAGTTGTTAAAAACTAAAAAATCTTTTCTTGTCTTGGTAAATTGATCTTATGTTACATTTATGGGTTGTGGATATAATCCCAGGGATCTCTGGGTTTCTTTGTCACAAAGACTAACACCACTGAACCTATTCGGGTAACCAGAGCTCTGTTGCCAGCAACAGAGAAATGGAAGCCAGGGCAGCAGTGTCCCAGAGGTTATTGCTAGTAAGTATAATGGATATCAAATATTTAACCCTCCTAAGGTGCTGGGATATCCCAGTTGGGTAGGTTGGAATCTATACTAGCCTTCCCCCCAGGCCAATTTCTCGTAAAACAATTTCATACAAATGTCAATCTCTCCGTTCGTTCAACTGTGGTATGCAAAATCTAAGACCATTTAATACCCTCAGCCCCAAAGGGTGAAACAGGAATAAAATGATTAGAGAACTGCTTGTTTGTACTGCAGACAGGCTCTGGTTCTGATTACAGGAGAATGAGGGATGTGTGTTTCTTAAGTTTTGTGAGAATGTCTCCCCCTGCATCAACCCACTTTCAGTAGTTCTAGCACCAGGAGAGGATTCTGGTTCAAAGTCAGGGCTGTGTTTGTTTACTTTACCTTTCCGACTTTGAATTGTTCTTGAAAGAGTCCTTTGAACTCTGGTTATGGCAGAATACACCTTACTTGGTTGTCTTCGCTTTGACCCTGGGTGGCAATGATGCAGGTGTCTTGCATAATATCAGCTTTTTAGAAGAAGCTCTACTGTGTGGAAGCACAGGGGAGTTAATCCAGCATTCACCTCTGAATCGGGCTTCAAATATTCAAATCAGAGTCATAAGTGTAATACAACAGTTGCCACCTTACACAGATCTCATTCCAGTCAGCCAGAAAGTTCATCACCCCCAAGTTTTCCTACTTAGAAGTATGGGATGCTTCATTCTCCAGACCTGGGTGTGCATTTGCGCCCTGGTATAGCTCTGCTTTGGCAGCACTGGCCTGCTGTAGCTGAGAGGCGGAGCCCCTGGCTGTTACGCCAGCCACACGCTGTCTTCTCTCCAGCCCCGTCCCTGTACTCCAAGGCCCCAGAGCTCTGAGCTCTGTAGTCACTGACACCGAGGCAGCCAACTCTCCCTTCCTGCATGCAGTAAGACTCCAACACAGTTAAGTTTCAGTTTTTCCTACTCTCTTTGCCATGTTGCCCCTCTTTATACATACACTGGTCATCTGGCATCCTCAGGGACTATTGTCTTTGTGTGGGTATGGTTTGGGAGTAAATGTGTTGGTGATATGAGCCCAGTATCTTCCCTCTTTGACCATATTTCTGGTCTCTTTTCTTTGATTGGATCAAGCTCATTAAAATATAATTTAAAATAAGCTGTTGATCACTATTTTATATATTTCATTTCTTCTGTTTTTAATAACCATGTCAGTAATAAGGCTAACAATTCTATTATTTCTCTTCTAGATTTATTCCTCACGACATTGTCTACTTCTAATACCTTCCAGTTTGAGATATGGAAAAATTTGGTAAGAAGTCTTTTGTTTGAAGCATTTTTAATGATGGTATTCAGTAAAAGCACACAATTTTAGGAAATCAAATGAAAGTAATCACTTGGTCGGTTGGTTTCAACAATAAATAGAACAACTTTAAGAGCCTTTGGTTGCACTGTTGCATTCAAACTGCTGAATATTGCTGAAGGAAATGATTCATTCAGCATCAATCCTCTGCAGGTTTTAGGCATGACTGCCAATTAAGCCTATCAGTCTGCCCTAATGCACATGTTAACAGGGCCCCTGCTAGGCTATCAGCTGTTGAGAGGTCACTGTCATTTAATTTGTCAGCATGATAGTTTATTGAAGAAACCCTTTTTTAAGAGACTGATTTTTCTTCCTTGCCTTTAGGCTTATATAAAAAAGTAGGAACAACTGACACTAAACTTACTGCCACGTTGACCGGGATTAAGGAGTTGTCCATATTTTTAATTGCAAGTAGAAGATTGCCAATGATACCATGATTTGATTTGCTTTTTTAGCTTGGTTATAGAAGATCACTAAAGAAAAATAGACCATGCCTGATATCTTACAATGAATTTTAGGGTACACAATAGCAAGCAAGACTTGAAAACAGGCTAAAGCTAAGTGGCATTCATCAGTAACAGTCAAGTAGAAAACTCAATTTCTTCATTATGGAAACAGTTTAAGAGTGTCTACTTCATCGAAAGATTGTGAAGGTTAGATGAAATAATATGTGTAAAGTGTCTGGCATACTGTAAATACTAAATTTTAGTTTTAGACTTTTTGGTTTTCCACCCATTTATTCTTCATTGTCTTTTATACAATACAAATTAAGCCCCTAAAATGTATAGCTTTATTAAAACGCTTGTGAAAAATAAACTCCTCTAAAAAAGAATGTAAAGCACAAGCTTGTGGAAGAAAATTTATTATCAGCTGTTTTTTATAGCGCAGTGAGTATTGTTGGTCATGACTCACTTTCTGTATGGAGGAAAGTGGATTAAAGGGAAGAATTTTGTTTAGATAAGATCAGACGTGTAAATACTATTGATTTCTTATAAATTAGACATTTGATCCTTTTTTTAGTGGGACCAAAAAAAAAAAAAAAGACAGCTAAAGCAGAAAGAACTGTCTTTGTATTTGCAATTTTATAAAAAAAATATATATAAGAATATTTGGTCTTCGGACCCGTACTAGTGATGCCAGGGCCAGTGCAGCACTATGAAGCTCTCCACAGTAACTGCAGCACAAGTTCATCCCTGGCCAAGGAGGTGACTCACATGGTGCAGGCTGCTGTCCTGCCTACTGCACCCTTCAGCAGTGTATTTCAATCTGCCTGTTTTGCTCTCCACTTTGTCTCTGGTGAATCTTCTCACCCCCTGCACCACCGGTCTGTATCCCAATTCTCATCTGCATAAATAAATAAATCTTTTTTTTTTAAAGATTTATTTATTTAATCATACAGAATTGGGGTACAGGCCAGAGATGTGGAGGGTGAGAGGATTCACCAGGGACAGAGTGGGGAGCAGAAC